AATTGATGCTTTTGAACTGTGGTGTTGGAGAAGACTCTTGAGAGTCCCTTGGACTGCAAGGAGATCCAACCAGTCCATCCTAAAGGAGATCAGTCCTGAATATTCATTGGAAGGACTGATGCTGAAGCTGAAACTCCAGTACTCTGGCCACCTCATGTGAAGAGTTGACTCATTGGAAAAGACCCTGATGCTGGGAGGGATTGGGGGCAGGAGGAGAAGGGGCTGACAGAGGATGAGATGGCTGGATGGCGCCACCGACTCGATGGACATGAGTTAAACTCCGGGAGTTGGAGATGGACAGGGAGGCCTGGCATGCTGCAATTCATGGGGTCACAAAGAGCGACTGAACTGAACTGAACTGAACTGACTCCATGAGGCATGAGGAGCCTGTGGTCCAACAAGCATATGACTTTAAACAAGCCACTTCCTTTCACTGGGCTTCAGTTTGGCACGTGTGTGCTCAGTCACGTCTGACTCTGTGTGACCCCATGGATTGTAGCGTGCCAGGCTCCTCTATCCATGGAGTTTTCCAAGCGAGAATACTGGAGTGGGTTGCCATTCCCTTCTCTAGGGGATCTGCCAGATCTAGGAATCAAACCTGTGTCTCTTGCATCTCCTGTATTGGCAGGCAGATTGTTTACCACTGTGCCACCTGGGAAGCCCTACAAATGGGGTGGGGTGTCCCAAATCTCAACTCAGCAACTTGTCACCTGTGTGACTCATCCAAGTCACTCAACCTGGATGTGCCTTAGTTTCTACATCTGTAACTAAAGATATGGCTAACATCTGTTTAGATGAAAAACATTCAGAATAGTACTGAAACGTAAAAAAAAAAAATTGCTATTATTACAAATAATAGATACTAATGAGTATTTCATTCCCCTATCTTCCCTATATGAATTGTCTCAGTGTTTGTAACCTTTAATGCAGCAGAACTTGACTAATGCGGCAATTCCATATTATTATGTACAGCTCTCAGCATGCTGAGTCATAACACATAATCGTGCCCTAGAAAGCACATATGACACAGCACCCGGCCACATGAAGGGGTGGAACTCAGTACTCAGTCCCCAGTGAATGAGAGACAGGCCTATTTGTATTTATTTTCTTTCAGTTTTATTGAGATATGATTGCCTTACAGCACTGTATAAGTTTAAGGGGTACAACATCATGACTTGACTCTACACATCATGAAATGATGACCACAATAAGTCTCATGAGCATCCATCATCTCATGCTCATGTGTGCTCAGTCACTAAGTCATGTCTGACACTTTGTGACCCCCTGTAGCCCACCAGGCTCCTCTGTCCATGGAATTCTTCAGGCAAGAATCCTGGAGTAGGTTGTCATGCCCTTCTCCAGGGGATCTTCCTGACCCAGGGATATAACCAATATCTCCTTTATCTCCTGCATTGGCAGAAGGGTTCTTTACCACTGAGTCACCTGGGAAGCCCATCTCATCTCATATGGACACAAAATTAAACAAAAACAAAAGCAGTGTTTCTCCTTATGATGGGAACTCTTAGGATTTGCTCTTTTAACCACTTTCATAGATAACATACAGCAGTGTTAATTATCTTTATCATGTTGTACATTACATCCCTAGTACTTATTTATCTTATAACAGGAAGTTTTTACCTTTTGACTGCCTTCATCTAATTCCCCCTCTCCCACCCCAGCTCTGGTAACCATGAATATCTTGTCTTTCTATGAGTTTTTGTGTTTGTTTGCTTTTTAATTATAATTGCCCTACAACACCATTGTCAGTGCCTTTTACACAACATAGTGATTCGATATGTCCATACATTTCAATCTGATCACCATAATAAGATTCAGGCCTCTTTAAACTGATAGCCTGTGAGGTGAATGCCGTAAGGGATTCCCTTATAGAAACTCTAGATGCTTTTTAACTTTCAAAACAAGTTGACTGCATTGAGATATATCTGTGTATAGATGAAGATGTGATGTCATTTCACACTCTACACATAGTAATAGATACTAATGAGTATTTGTGGCTTAAGGCCTGGTCCCTGATCTCAGAGAGTTACTCGAACATTAAGGGGGAGAGACACATAAACACAATGGGTTATAGGATAGGACAGTGTTAACTATGAGTCTAAATAAGAACATGCATATAACCTTATAAGCTGAGACTATATAAATGCTCATGGTTGTAGTTTTTTCTGTAGGCCTTAAGAACTGCACCAGGAAAAGGAGGGATCATTTCTTGTTGGGGCATCAGGGAAGGTACTGAAACCTGGGATTTTCAATAGGCATGACTGAGGGAAAAGGCTCAATAGATAAATAAACAAATATTTTAAAAAATCTAACAAAATATGTCAGATCATCACTCATTTGCTTGAAACCATCACTT